TGCTTTAAGAGGGGAGGACTTCCACTCCCAGAATCCCCCAGCCAGCAGGCTTTAAGAGGGGTGGACTTCCACTCCCAACTTCTCAAAGCAAAACTTGTGAAGCCGATGTGGAGCATGGGCAGTGAGTCCCACTACCTGTGGGGGTATGACGTAGTCCACCACGTCCCAAATCCTCTTGCCCATCTCTGAGGTGTTGGTGAAGGCCACCCCCTTCACCTTGGTGATCACGGAACTCTGGATGGAGGTGTCCACTTCCTGGTACCCTTTCTTGACCATGAAGACCCACCTGGAGAGGCCAGAGACAAAAGGTTAAGCAATTTTTATATACAGTATATAAACAGTTGTTTATGTTTGTGTGAATGCTATTTAGAGCTCGTTTAACCAGGTTTTCCATTTCAAGAGAGTGGTTGATGGTTGATCTTCAGAAGCTTTCAAGAGAAGCTTTTGGTTTCTCCTTTGGATGTGTTTCAATAGAGATTAGTACACTGTGGGGAGAATTCTGTTGAGAGAGAGGGGGGGGGGAAGGAAGGAGAGGGAGAGAGAGAGAAAGCAAGAAATCAAGCAAGAAAGAAAGAAAAAGAAAGAAAGAAAGAAAGAAAGACGGGAGGGAGGGAGAGAGGGAGAGAAGGAAGAAAGGAAAGAAAGAAAGGAAGGAAGAAAAGAAAGAAAAAGAAAAAGGAAGGAAGGAAGGAAGGAAGGAAGGAAGGAAGGAAGGAAGGAAGGAAGGATGGCCATCTTTCAGGGATGTTGGAAGTGTATATCCCAGCCCTGGACAGGGGGTTGGACTAGATAACAACAACAACAACAACAACAACAACAATAATAATAAAAAGTTGCAAGGGACCTTGGAGGTCATCTAGTCCAACCCCCTGCACAGGCAGGAAACCCTGTGGTACCTTGGTCAATAGTATCAACTCTGAGAGGGATCTCGGAGTCCTAGTAGACAATCCCTTAAACAGGAGCCAGCCGTGTGCTGCAGCTGCCAAAAAAGCCAACACAGTTCTAGGCTGCATTAACAGAGGGAGAGAAGCAAGATCATTAGAAGTGTTAATATCATTTTACAAGGCCTTGGTAAGGCCACACGTGGAATCCTGCATCCAGTTTTGGTCACCACGATGTAAAAAAGATGTTGAGACTCTAGAAAGAGTGCAGAGAAGAGCAACAAAGATGATTAGGGGACTGGAGGCTAAAACATATAAGGAACAGCTGCTGGAATTGGGTCTGTCTAGTTTAACGAAGAGAAGGATGAGGGGGGACATGATAGCAGTCTTCCAGTATCTCAGGGGCTGCTCCAAAGAAGAGGGAATCAAGCTATTCTCCAAGGCGCCTGAAGGCAGGATGAGAAGCAACGGGTGGAAAATGATCAAGGAGAGAAGCAACTTAGAACTAAGGAGAAACTTCCTGACAGTTAGAACAATTAACCAGTGGAACAACCTGCCTCCAGAAGCGGTGAATGCTCCAACACTGGAAGTTTTTAAGAAGAGACTGGACAGCCATTTGTCTGAAATGGTATAGGGTTACCTGCCTGAGCAGGGGGTTGAACTAGATGACCTCCAAGGTCCCTTCCAACTTGATGATGATGATAATGATGATGATGATTAAATTGCCTGAGGCTGCTGAAGACTCCTTGCAAGAATTAAAAGATGGAAGTACCAGGAGCCCTCGGCTTACAGCCATTCGTTTAGTGACCGTTCAAAGTTACAACGGTCCTGGAAAAATTTGGCACTCCGTTGCGTCAGTCTGGCTTTCGATCTAAACAGCTAAAGGCAAAAATCAGAGGAGCTGAGGGAAAGCAAACAACCACACAAAACCCTGGAGAGGCTGTAATAAAATGCAGCCGGCGTGATGGAGAGACAATCAATTTGCACAATAAGAGCGACGTCTTCCAATTTGCCAAGTTTTGCCTTACTTACAGCAGCGTTTCCTCAACCCTCAGCAACGTTTCAGAGGAAATGCTGGCTGAGGAATTCTGGGAGTTGAAGTCCACAGGCCTTGAAAGTTGCCGGCGCGGAATCCATAAGTTACACAACTTGCAACAGTTCGTTTAGTGACCGTTCCAAGTTACAACAGTGCTGAAAAAAACAGACCTACGACTGTTTTTCACATTTACGACCGTTGCAGCGTCCTCGGGATCACGGGATCAAAAGTCAGACGCTGGGCAACCGACTCGTATTTATGACGGCCGCAGTGTCCCGGGATCACGCGATCCCCTTTTGNTTATTATGGATCATCGCACAGTCAGCCAGATGTTCAGACTGGATTTGGCATTTTGTCTACCTATCGAGTCCTTTCCCAGGACCTGGGATAGGCAGATGTGGATGTTTGATGGTATTACAGATATCGTCGCAGGATGGAAGCAGTTCCTAGTAAGGCCGCCTTTTGCAATTGACTAATAGCAAATTTGTCAATGCCAATGATGGTGTTCAAGTGGTGCTCCAGTTGTTTTGGGATTGCACACAAGGCGCCTATTACTATTGGTACTACCTTTGCTTGCTTTTGCCACAGTCTTTCTCTTTCTATTTGTAGGTCTCTGTATTTTGTTATCTTCTCCAGTTCTTTCTCGTCTATTCTGCTGTCTCCAGGCACCGCCACGTCCACTGTCCAGACTTTTTTGTCTTTCTTATCGACAATTGTTAAGTCTGGGGTGTTATGTTGCAGGTGCTTGTCTGTTTGAATTCTGAAGTCCCAGAGCAGTTTAATTTTTTTATTATTATTATTATTATTATTATTATTATTATTATTATTATTACTATTACTATTATTATTATTATTATTATTATTATTAATTATTATTATTATTATTATTAAACTCAAGTTACTTCTCCACCCATCTACTGTCTCTATTCTCAGGAAACAGCTTACAGGGAGTCCTCGACTTACAACAGTTCATTTAGTGACCGTTCCAAGTTACAACGGCACTGAAAAAGGTTACTTATGACTGTTTTTCACACGATCGTTGCTACCCTCCCGTGATCACAGGATCAAAATCTAGAGGCTTGGCAACTGACTTCTATTTATGACGGTCACAGCGTCCTAGGGGGGTCACGTGATCCCCTTTTGCGACCTTCTGGCAAGCAAAGTCCATGGGGGAAGACAGACTCCCTTAACAACTGTGTTATTAACTTAACAACTGCCATGATTCACTTAACAACTGGGGCAAGAAAGGTGGTAAAATGGGGCAAAGCTCATTTAATACCTGTCTCGCTGAGCCACAGGAAGGAAGAAAAGGGAGGAAGGAGTAGAAACAGAGCAAGGAAGGGAGGGAGGGAAGGAGGAAAGAAAGTAGGAAAGAAGAAAGGAAAGGGGAGGGGAGGGAGGGAGGAAAGAAAGAAAAGGAAGAAATGGAGAGGAAGGAAGGAAGGAGGAAGGAAGAAAAGGAAGGAAGGAGTAGAAACAGAGCAAGGGAGGGAAGGAGGGAGGAAAGAAAGTAGGAAAGAAGAAAGGAAAGGGGAGGGAGGGAGGGAGGAAAGAAAGAAAAGGAAGAAATGGAGAGGAAGGAAGGAAGGAAGCAGGGAGGGAGGGAAGGGAAGAAGGAAAGAAGAAAGGAAGGAAGCAGGGAGGGAGGGAAGGAAGGGAAGAAGGAAAGAGGAAGGAAGGAGTTATCTATCCATCCATTCATCTATCCATCATCTCTCATCTTCTATCTTATCTCCAGAATCACAGATCCAAGGAAACAGATTAAGAAAGACAAAATAAAATAAAATCATTATAAAAGGAAGTAAGTTTTCAAGGGTTAAAAAAAGCCACAGTGATCATGGTAGAAGGGCTTCTGTATCAGATTCTCATCAGTTTAGAAAACTCTAGCCTACCTCTGTAGAGAAAGAAAGAAAGAAAGAAAGAAAGAGAAAGAAAGAAAGAGAGAGAGAGAGAGAGAAAGGAAGGAAGGAAAGAAGGAAGGAAGGAAGGAAGGAAGGAAGAAAGAAAGAAAGAAAGAAAGAAAGAAAGAAAGAAAGAAAGAAAGAAAGAAAGAAAGAAAGAAAGAAAGAAAGAAAGAAAGAAAGAGGCTGCATGGAATTCACACGGCCACACAAAATGCAGATCTGCGGATCTTCTCCTGAATGGAACAAGAAAAACCTGCCTCCAGCAATTCCAAGTCAGTAGCTGCTCCGTAGGGCAACTGAATTGCAGCCTCCACCTTCCCAAACAGGGTTTTGCACCCAGACCAGTCCCAGCCAGCCAGGCAGGGATGGATGGATGGAGACCTGGAACAAAAATCTCCCCCTTTTCAGATGGAAGAAAGACAACCCCCCCCCCTCAATTTTCACCACCTTCCCTTCTTGCCTTCCCACCCGGCAGCTCTCTGCTTGAGCCCCAGGCTGCAAATCCGACAGAAGGAGCGGGAGTTATTTCGATAAATATAACAAGAGACGACATCCTCACCCCACGATGTAGATCAGGATGGAGAGCTGGACCACCCGGTAGAGAATGCCCACTTTCTTGTTCTTTGCGATGACATACTTTTCGGTTTTGTAATCGAAAAGCGAGAAGCACAAGGCTTTCCAGGAGATCTGATCCATTTCTGGGGCAGATGCCAGAGCGAGCGCGTGCTGGATGCTGGAAGAGATGCTGCAATGGAGAAAGGTTCAAAGGAAACAACCCGCCAGGCAAGCACAGCAGGAAAGCCAGCCTGTTCTAAAACATTCTCCCTGCAGATCTGGCGCGAAAAGGCTTGCTTTTCAAATTCAAATTCGGGATAGAGCTTGGAAGGTGTGGCTTTTGTGGTAGGCCACATTAGGGTGGGGTCACTCATGAATCTTGACCGACAAGAGAAGACAACATACAGGCTATCCTCTGGACAAGTGAACCGTCGGGCGTATCCCGTGTTCCTCTTTTATTTGGCACATACATGAGGAAGTGTTCAGGTATCAATATAATTGGTTACATATATAGGAAATAAGTACATGCTANCAAGGTAAAATTAAGCATCCTAAAGCGATCATACCAATGGCTTGCAGGCCTGGCAATTTTGGAAACCATGACTCAAAAAGAGAATGCATGTCAAATCCCTTCCATGTTTGGACAGGGACATGGGCAAGGCGGACCATTTTTTCACTGACTTCAGCGATCACATTGCCTGAGTCATCAATTTCAATACAACAATTTGACAGATTAAATTTTCCACATACCCAATTTCCCACATACCCCCCTTTCTTTTTCTAACAAATAATCTAAAGCTAGGCGGTTTTGCATAATATAGGGTCTGGATTTGACACTTTGAGAAGCTAAATGTTTCATGGTAGGGGCTTTTGGGTTATAGCATATTGTTTGATTGTAAACCAAGGTGCTGGTAAGTTTGGTGTCTTCTTTGGTGACTTTAAGACATGGTGAACAGTGTCTTTCAACTGGGGGGGCAGCTTGTTTGATCTGAGGCCGGATACGGTGTCACACCCCTCTGGTAGATTGAAGGGGGGTGTCTAGCCATCTGTGGAGTTCCTCCCCAGGCCTTGGGGGAGTCACGGCTGATGAGTCAGAGTTCTGTGACTCCCTCTTCAGGGTAGTAGATGTCATACTCAGGGATGTAATCAGGATCGATGTGGTCAATACAAAAATCTTGCACCCCAGGGCAGGCATAATGTTGCAGGGCACAGGCGTTGCACCAAAAACAGCACTGACAGCCGCACTGGCAGATGCAGTGGTCACACATCTACTCTGGTGGCTGTTGTTTCAGATGGGGTTTCTGTGGCTGGCGTGATGGGAGGTGGTGCAAAGTAGGGCTGGACGCAGCAACCAGGGACCCACAAGACTTTTTCAGGCAGTTGGACTGCTGCGTAGCCTCTTCCCCAAGTGATGAGATCAACAGGCCCTTTCCAGGTAGGATCAGGGAGTACCTGTGGGAGGGAGAAGAAAAACGCCTCTCGGCTGCAGAGGTAGGCGGGTTGCCAGTTAAGTTTAAAAAATTCAAAGTATATAGACAGAGATTAAGGATGTCTTGCACTGCTGGGAGACCAGGGGCATTTTTCCCCTGTTGTCTGATGTACCGGTCAAGGGCTATTTTATG